CAAAAGAAATATCACTATATATTATCCTACATATTCTATATATGTGTAGAACCTATCGGAAAGAGTCTAGTTGTCACACTGCGCAGGCACAGCTTTACTTGTACATTTGATAATAAGCCTGTTTTTATGGCTGTACAGATGTTTGCTGTATACGCGCACTAACTAATAAGGGATCCAACAAATTTAAATAAAATATATTCCTCTTTCATCTAGGAAATTCTACTCTTTAATTGCATTTTATTACAGATAAGTTATAATTCTAGAGCGAGGATTTAATTCCCCTTTTAAAATTCATCCGTCAGCATTCTAATGAAGGATTATTTTAAATCCGTTTGAAATTAACACAGTTCATTCGATTTAATTTACTTATAGATAAAAAGAAACTAAAATAACAATTATTAATTTAAAATATTTTAGAAACTGACTAATTATCAATCACATATTATAAAATATTTTTAAAAATATATGAAAAACAAATGTATTTTTATCTATGACTCGGGTGTTGAAAGATGCCATTTTTATACCGCTAAATTATAAAATAATATTTAATCAAGGAGATTTTTCTTTGTAGAATATGAAAATAAGTTTTTCTTAAGTGAAAATACTTGTAAAATATTAAAACATTTGTAGTTTAATTAACTGGAAAACTGGAAAGAACAAAAAATCAAAACGTGGATAAAGTTCACGAAAGAAGAAAATCCATTCCTTAATGGTTGAATTACCATCTTTTTATCGTTATGCCGTATAATGTGACCAAAAAATATGCAATTCTCTCTTGCTAATCGAGGTCAATGGTCATTGAACTTTACTCTTTACAAATGGAAATACAAAAAAAAAACAGCCGGTAATTGTAAACTATGGAAACAAAATAAAAGCTTCATCGATTATGGCTGAACTAAATGCTAACTTAATCTAATTAATCATCACCATAATTAGCTTAATTATAAAAATTAACATCTACATACTTCTATAGAAATTTATTACATCTATTTCCATTAATTACCATAAGCTCGAAGTATATATATATATATATATTTGATAATTTACAGCGATATAAATAAGCCTGTTGCTGATCAATTCATTAAACAGATGCTGAATGTTACGCTCTGAAATACACGTCAGAAATGTAAGGAAATTGCTCACTTTTTTTTAAATATTTCTTCTTGAATAATTCACACTTTACACTTTTTTTTCGACGCATTAAATAGAATTTATGCAAATAAGGTCGTGCGATATTTAAATTTCGGGAATTAAAAAAGAAGCTGGCACTCATAAAACAAACAATTCTTTAATCATTTATGTATTCATTTTTCGTACAGAATATTCTAAATTTAATAAGGAGAATTGAAATTAATTTTTACATCAAACAAAAATGAATTTCCTAATTAAATTATACTGTATTTATATAATTTTTTTCTTTTTCCTCTGCAAATTTCTGCAAAGAATAGAAAATAATAAATGAATTAAAAGATAAATTCGACCTTCTTTATATAATAATTTTTCCAATTAAAACCTACGGAATTAATTTTTATTAATTAAATTGTGATACTGGTATGCAAATTAATTTCTTATTTAAATAACGGGTTAATTATTTTGAGTAAGCTAATGACATTTAATTTTTACGATAGGAATTTAGTCACGTGTCAATTCTCTATAGGATAATGAAATAAAATACAACATTTTACACAGATTTCATTAATTTTACATATCTTTTCTTGGTAAATATTCCTATTAAAAATAGATTAAAATAATATGTATTTTATTTATTTACATATTTTAAATTTAATAATGTTGTTTATCTCTTTACTTTTTTTTTATTTTTGTATCTTTACTACAAAAGAAAATTTAAAAAAAAATACAACTGAAATTTCAACATTTTTCTTTTATCAATTTATTAAACCCAACTTGAATTATTTTCTGAGTTTATTTTCAAATGTATAAGATTATTTATAAATGAAAATATATAAAAGTTTTAATATATTACTCTGGAATTTTTAAATAAAATAAAATCACAATAATAAGCTGAAAGATAAGTTTTTTTTTCCACCGTATAAAAATAAAAAAATAAATGAAAAATTGTTATTTGCTGGCTTCTATCTTTATTTCTTGCCATGTTTTTATGTAACAAAATTCATCAAAAGTATATATAATATAAAGATTTAATGAGCTTTTTCTGCTTATTTTATAGTGGAAAACGGAAATAAACATTCGTTTTACTGTAAAATTTGCGTAGAAAATAAATATATAATTGTTTTTTTTTTCTATAATAACGTTAAAAAAATCATATTTTAATATTCTAAAAGAATTATGGACGGAAATAATTCCATCGTCTCTTCCGATTACAGTAACAATATCCGTAAAAGCATTTACATCACAAACATTATACGCAACGTAAAACCAAAAAAAATAAAATAAATAAATAAATCAAATAAAATAGTTGACTTTTTTTCCTCGGTTTATTTTACAATTTAGAATAATTTATAGGAAAACTCAATTAATTTAATATAAAAATATTTAAATTTTAAATCTCACTCGAGTAAAATTTAACTTTCTATTCATTAGCTAATATTGTTAAGTAAGAGATTAGAAAATGCGATAAAGTAGTAAATTAGAAATGAAATATTGAGTATATAAATAATGAAATGTCGTTTTTTTTCAATAGCCGAATGACCTTCTATTCACCTACTTCCTTAGAAATCCCCACAGACATTTTATTCAGGGAATTTATAGTAAATTTTTAACTGGTATAAAAGGTATCTGTTTCTAGAAATTTTTAAAACCCTTTCTGAAGATCAATCAATAATAAATGATCTTCCTACCGTTTATGAATTTGCTATTATTCTAATCTAGTTGGAGGAGTTTGCCACGTCTCCATTCAGAAAATACGATGAATCATAAACACGTGTTTGGAATATTTTACATACTCGTTCTTCCACGTGTGAATTTTAAAACTAAGCTTTCCTCTATTTAATAATGATGAATCTTCATTTTTTTTTTTTCTTAATTTCCCCTCTTAATACATAGCAATTACTGGCTTTTCAAATGAAGATTTAAAGTGCAGCACCGGAATTAAAGGCTAAAATTATTGATTGGATCATAAGGATCTTAAAATAGATTATTATTCATCAGAGTTCGCGTTCGATGTCAACTTAATCCCTTAAAGAAAAGTTTCTCACATTATATTCATCCCGGATATGGCTCATAGTGACGTCAGAAACTACTACCCATTCTCTTCGCAAATGAATGGCATTGAGGTAATGATTATTCTAACTCTAGGTAGACACGTAGGAATGCAACTAACGAGGAGTCGTGACGCCTACGTTTTAACCCCATCAAAAATTAAAATTCCTCGATGATTCGTACGTATCGATTCTATAGGTTTAAATCATAAACAAACACTAGTATTGTGTTAATAACAACAATTATTTAACTATCCTCTTACCAAACTCAATATCTATATTTACATACAGATTAAACTAGAAACAAAGCATCCGCCGGCGGTGATCTGTATTTTGTTCAATAATTGTTAATTTTAAGTATAAGATAATTTTAATTTTTAGTTAAAGAATAGAGACTAACAAAATGTTTTTTAAATTCCTACAATTCATTGCAGGTTATGTAAAAAATTGAATATCGATAAGAAATGAATAGAGTTGTTTGTGTCTTTAAGTGCTTCTTTCCCAACTTTTCCATGAATATTGTAGAAAAGGGAGACAATAATCACTTTATATAACGAATCAACTGACTAAACAGTTACTTTATGATGAAAAAATAAAATAACTCTTCACACATTTATCGTTATAAATGGAAATATTTGAAGTATTACGTAAATTTATAAGTATTATTGCTTTAGGAAATTTTAGTAACGTTGGTGGCAATTGCGTAACTGTTTTAAGGTGGGGGCTGGTATGCGAGTGGGTATTATTATTAATTTTTTTTTTAATCTAGATGACACTATAGAGTTTATGTTATTAACTCGACTCATATATATCAATTTACAGTGACTAATTAAATTCTAAATTCCAATTAATCGATACTAAACATTTATCTTGGAGAGTTTCTGTTAAAAAAGAAAAAATTTTTTTTATTAAAAAATAAAGTTCTTTATTAAATTTTAAGATAAACTAAATCACGTTACAAGTGTTTCCAATAAAGCTTAATCTCCATTAATAAAATAGCCGAAGAAATTTTTTATATTAAAACTTTCCATGCCTTATTAATAAGATTTTTGCTAGAGTTTAATATAATACTGATGCATTAAAACTCAATTTTAATTTTTAAAAAAAGCACGATTCTTCAAATTTTATTATTCGTATAAATGCAGAATATTTATTAAGATTAATTGGGAACAAAAATTAAAACTTCTCATAATATTAAATTGTGTTTCCACTACAAATAAAATTAACAGAGTCATTCCCTAAATGTCTAAGAAAAATTTGAACTATTGATTAGACAAACATTAGTTTTAAAATATAAATAGGAATTCAATTCTTCCAGTAGAGTGGAGGCAAGAGACAAAAGCAAGAAAAGACAATTAGCTTAAAATCTCTGTTAAGTAATTCAGAGAGGTGGAAGATTTTCAGCGCTTTATCCAGAAAGAAACACAGAAATGCAGTTAACGTTTATAAGCAAACAACATGTATTTGTTATTTGATATAAAATGTTAGATGATGATAAAGTTATGTACAGTGACAGTTTCATTTTCTATATCGTAAAACAAAGAAAAAAATTTCATTTTATCACATAACTCTCATATCACGGATAATAGAAATGCATTAAACTTTGATATTTGTGTGATGCTCTGAACTATTTACATTATTTTCAATATAAAAGCTTTTAAACTATAAAGTGATGTTTCGAATAGGTACATATTAGATATTTTGACAGTTTTCCTGAGAATGATACCTTTAACTTGTGAACATGTTATACAGAAGACAATTTAAATGAGTTGGTGAATGGCTGTGACTTTATAAAGTAACATCAATCAAAAATTACTGGAATGAACCCATATTTAACAATTTATTGGTGAAGTCTCAAATAGTGTATACATACATTATGGAAATATAAATGTCAAATAAAAAAGTGACAATGATAAAAATAAAAATGACTGTCTTAAACTAAAAGCTTCTCGATTTCCTGTTGTAAAACTTGTATCTGCGGCTTCAACTGGGAACCCTCGTTCATGGTAATTGAACAGGATATAACCGGTCGAGATACGCCACAAGCTCTTCCCAAAGCTGAAAAGAATAATCATTAAATTAGTTATTGTAATTAAGGCTTTATAATTATCTATTTACAAAAATGTTAATTTAGAATAATGATATAATAAATATTGTATAATGTTAGATATATCAAACATTAGTTATTTAAAATAAAATTCATCTTGACGCATTTATTGATCTATCAATAAATATTCTGAAATGATTGCTGTTGGCGAAGAGATTTAGTCCACACAATATCTCTCTACAAAAACTTATTTACTGCATTTTCAGTATAACCAGCACACAGACAAAATTATTAATCTTTCATATTACTTTTATAGCTATATGCTTTAAGGCAAGTACAGATCAATATTAAGAAATTAGTTATAATAAAAAAATATATTTCAAAGGCTCGCATGCTTTTCAAACTTCCTTTCCTTTGCTCCATACCTTTTTATAAAATTTATTTTATATTTTATACATAATTTATCATTAATAAAACTAGGAAGATTTTCAATAAAATATTTTTTCATAAATAATTCTTGAGTGTACAAAATTATATAAGCAAATAAATATTTTTACACTATTCCTGGGAGTATTTTGTTAACATCATTTGGATGACACTGATCAAAATTCAAGATCATGCAGTTTTTATTTTATAAACAAAACAATATCAAGAAAAATTGCCAACTAAAAATAATAGAGCATAATAAATAAAATATTAAATGTAACTCAACAAAAATGCATTACACTGAAAAATGTTTCTTATATGTTACAACATAACAATATATTTATCTACAACTTTCAATGACATGGCAAATTCAAGAAGTAACTTAATTTTATATTTTTAAATAAAATTTATCTATAATATAAAAACTATCATCTTAATATATCTTGGAAAAAAATATAGTTCCTTAATTTCATTGGAATATTGGCATATTTATACCGTATACAAAAATAAAATAAACCAGCAATGAGTTGCTCAACTTTCCTGGCAACATTTAAAATTTTGGTGATTCCATCTTGTTATCATATTTTATTAAAACTTTTTATAATTTTAATTATTATAAAATGGAAAATGGTTAATTTTGGAGGTAGGGATGAGTTTTATAAACAACTGTAAATGCTAATAACAAGTAAAATCATCATTAAGTCTGATCCTGCTGGAGATACACACACACAACTCCATTATCTCCCCAACCTCTTGACCTTTAATTACCAAAATTTAATAGCATCAATTCCCCTAATAAACAAACCTCCCTGCAAAATTTCAGAAATTTTCAGCAGAAAGCATGGAAGTAATTAAGCTTCAAACAGGGTGAACAAAATCGTGCCCCTACACATTCATACATATAGAAATTACCCTGAATGTTTTTGCATTTTGACATTAGTTGTTCTGAGTCCAAAAATGTAAAAAATCTGGGGGTCACATTTTGCCAGATTGCCATACTTTCCCTCTGTTATAACAGCCAGAAAACTAAAAATTTAAAAATCATCAAATAAGTCTGCTTCTTTCTAAAAAAAACTTCATTACAGAAAATTTTATGCAAATTAATATCACCAATTCTCTCAGATTACTAATTATAAATGAATTTATCACTAATTATACAATTTTCTTGTTTTATTTCTCTTTGAGTTATATAATAAGCAACTTTAATATTCAATTTTTTACTATTTTTACAGCATTTATTTACAACTTCACAAACATCTAATTCATACGTACAAGAAATTAAATATTTCTATACTTTATTTGGCATATTACTGTTATATTAACAAGCTAATCAATAATTAAAATATTCAAAACAGCAATTAATTATTATTAAGTACAGAAATATTCATACGTAATGTATGACAAACTGTGATTGCAAGCTAATTAATAATATTTATTTATATTTGAAAAAATAAAATAATATTCCTGACAATATACAACAAAGCATTTGTAAATTTTATAAATGATTAAAAATATAAGTGAATATAAGCAAATAATTTTCTTCCAGTTTAACATAGACTTCAAAACACTTAAAAATAAATGAATTAAGCCATTCAAAGCTGAAATTTAATTAACATTAAACACGATAATCACAAATGAAATCAAAGATAAAATTTTTAAATGAATTCAAATAATTTTAATTATATTTTGGGTAAGAAAATATTCATATGGTCTATAGCATATTAGAATAATCCTTTAATATGTTATTAATAATATATACATGTATCAATTTTGAATATTGTTTACTATATATATATATATATTATAGAAATTCTTTCCTGTTCCTTTTATTACACCACATGTTATACATGAATTTTAAATTCTGTAATAACAGCAAATTCCTTACTGATTTAAGTAGCAGATGTGGCCTGGTGTTTGATGGAAATGTTTATTTTTGCTATGAGATGAAGAGTTGTAGTATATTTTGTTTAAACATTGTATTTTAAATATGGGAGCAAGAGTACTTAAAATTATTATGCTGAATAAATCATTTTTCAAAACACTGCTTTTAGGAAATAAAACATATTTAGCTATCTAAAGATAACTTTAGATATTTAATAGGATCCTGATTACTATGCTTAATCTATGAAAAATTATTATTTTAAATATTCCTAATGTTTTTAAAAATCTAAACAGTCAAAAACTGAAACTGGTAATTAAAAACAACTCACACCTCTTATACAGTACCTTCTCCAGTACATAAATTTTACTGAATGCTCATTTTGAAAATATATTAAATTTTATAATTAAAATATGAAGATGTAAAGAAATTAATCAAAAATGATTAAATAATTTCATTTATTATTATTATTATTACACAAAAAATAAGTGAATATAAATTAAAATAAGTGCTTTAAGAGGTCATTTTTTTGTTTTTTTATATTAGTCAATAAATTGATCAAATGAGTAAAAATTACATGTTTAGTTGTTGAACTTGTTGCTATAAATTATAATTTGCTTTTTCTACATTATGTAAAGATAACAGATTTAAATTCAGTTTCCATAGTTACAGCATATTTTATTCTTTTGTATATATTTATTTTTTTCCAAAGCCTGAGAATTGAAATCTGTTACAGCATCAAAATTTTATATAATGTTACAAAAATCAAATGATGATAAATTCATAATGAACACTGTTCTCTTGTAAAAATAGCAAATTTTGTATTCTCATTAGTACTTTTTGTCAGATATTAATATGAATTTTATAACATCTTCAGGGATAAAAATATGAGATATGTTTAAAATGACTTATTATTATTATTTTTTGTTTTGTTTGCTTGTATAAATTTAGTTATTTCAAAGATTTATTGGCCCCATAAAATTAAATTTCATTGCTTTCATATAAGGTCATGTCACCTTTATCAGGAATTCTCAAGGCATAAGATACTTTTTAGGAGTGCAAATGGAAATCAACATAACTGTATTTTAATTGTAATTATAATGTCACCAAAACTTAGCAAAAAGTATATCTGTGTGCCATTTTACTTTTGTTTTACTCAAAATATAACTGTATATTAGCAAAAACTAAGCTCTTAATCTTATCAGAATAAAATATATCCTAAGAAAACTATAGTTTCATACACTTATATAAAAAATATAGAGAAGTGCAAGAATTTTCTTTTTTACAAAAAAAGAGATGAGAACAACTTTACCTTTTAAAACATGTGCAAACTATTGCCTTATAAGGAAAGAAGGAAATGAAATGAAAGTTTTATATTTGAAGTTATTACTCTTATCAGACTTATAAAAAAATATTTTGTATTTAACAGAAAAAAACTGAAACAAATACATTTTTAAGGACACAAATATTACAAATTTAAAAAGAATAAAGAATTAAACAACAAAATAAGTAGCTTTATTAAATAGAAACAATATGTAAGTATATCTTATAGACTGTCATACTCATTTAGCTAATAAAAAGTTCATCAATACAATAGTGACATGAAAATTAATGTAATCACTAAGACACTTACTGAATTAACTAGGACATTATGTGACCTTGTCATATCGCAATAGAATTGAGGTGGAGCCAGAAAGAAAGAAGCTACCCCAGCACTTGTTAGGTACAGAAGAGGTACCTGATGAATATGAACTTTGCATTTGCTGCCACTATAGAGGTGATCCTTGTACCTGTTGGCCATAAGAGACAAGACCCACCCTCTAACTGGGTACGGAGAGATGATCTAAGAACAAATTAATCATGACTGATTGCTTTGTTCTTGTGTTTTGTTTGTTTTTTGCATTTATTTTTCATTACACATATCCAATGCTGTTTTTATTTTTGATCCCTTCATTCCATTAGGTACATTCAGTCACATCAAAAAGCATGTACATTGTCACTTTAATACCCTTATATCAAAAACAGTCATGGACTCATATTTTTTTACATTTAAATGGACCCGCATTACATTTTTGGATTCATCATTACAATTAATGGAAAATGGCAAAGTTTTATCAAAATCAGTGATTAAATTTTGAGAACAAACTCAATTATATAAGCCTATATAAGATGTGCTAGCAGCCATCACACGACATCACTTTGTCATGTGAACTCATGCTATGACATTACATCTTGAAAATGAAGTCATGGACCCATAGTTTTTATTACATTTCTGAATTCCTCATTGCAATTAACAGAAAATGGCAAAGTTTAATTAAAATCAATTGAACAGATTTTGAGAACAAACAATTCTGTCAGCCACACAGAAGAGGCTTCACTAATGCTCCATGTCATTTTAAACCAGTCTGTCTTTTCACTTATATTTTTAGAGGTATAATACCTCCTAAATAAATTTGGTCTAAGGTCAAGGAAAAGCTGTATTTTGCTTATGAGAGTTCTACAGAAAGTTATTGTCGTCTCTTTTTTTTCATTTTTAATTAACTTGTTATAGAGGTGCTCCTGCAGTGGCAAGAATTTGCAGTTTACTGCTTTCCTATACTAGTTGGTGATGATTTAAGCTTTAATCGGCCTTTATCTTCATTCACCAACACCATTTAATGCAGTAAGCACCTTGTCAGACACCTGTAGCGAATAATAATATTATGC